GCTGAGTCACAGATAAGGAGTCGGATGACGGTGACACACGTGGGGTTTGACATTTAGGGCCCCGTGGGGGGGGACAGAAATCTGCACCAAGGGGCTTCAGGAACCTTCTGTCTGTCCCTCATCATGGCCACCTGTCACCAACCTCCCTCCAGGTGTGTGTGGACCTTCTAGAACATTCTGTCTGTCCCTCCTCATGGCCACCTGTCACCTGCCCACCCTCCAGGTGTGTGTGGACCTTCTAGAACATTCTGTCTGTCCCTCCCCATGGCCACCTGTCACCTCCCACCCTCCAGGTGTGTGTGGACCTTCTAGAACATTCTGTCTGTCCCTCCCCATGGCCACCTGTCACCTCCCACCCTCCAGGTGTGTGTGGACCTTCTAGAACATTCTGTGTGTCCCTCTTCAAAGTCACAGCCCAGGGACCCCCTCCTCCAGCCACACCCCACCTGCTGCCGTCACCACCCAGTGAGTCCATCCAAGTGGATTAATCCACTATGAGTCTACACCTCTGCTAACCCACTCATGTCCACTCAAACCTTCCTGTGTGGTCTCTCACGTGACCTAAAGGGGGACATGTCACATCCAAACCACATTTTGGGAAACCCCCCAGACCCCAAAACTGTGTTTTAGGCACAAAATTATTTAAAGTCTCATGTGGAGCTGGACGCGGTGGTGCCCGCCTGTGATCCCAGTGGCTGCGGAGTCTGAGGCAGGAGGATGGCAAGGTGGAGGCCAGCCTCAGCAATGTAGCAAGTCCCTAAGCCACAAATCCATCCACCCAGCACCCTCCACCCACCCACCCTCTGCCGTGGGTGACAGTGACCCTCAGGTAGCACCTGAGTTACTTATGGAAACCTTCCTTCCTGCTCCGACTTGGGGGCCACCCTGACCCTCCGTGGGAGCCTGGACAGTTCCGCCCACCCCAGGAGCCCCGTGGCCACACTCTGGCTGCTGGCCTTCTGCTGGAGGGACGCAGCCGTCCCTGCCCTACGTCCCCGGTCCCTGCCCTTCCCGATGACGCCGGGTCCTGAGTCAGGCTGCGCAGCGTGGTCAGGGCTGTGGTTTGCATGGGATCATGAGGACCAGGAGGGTGTGTGTCACGTCCCCGGGGACTTGTGACCTTTGACATTCTCTAAAGGTCATCCAGGAGGGAGGGACTTGTCCTCACTCCCATGAGTCACTGTCCCTCCTAAGGACCCAGGTCCTGGGAGCTCTCGGGTGACCGTCCAGCAAAGAGCACCCGGAGCTTCTCAAGAGCAGCAGAGGACAGGTGCCTCCGGGGTCCACCCTGAACACAGGCTCTTCTTCCTGCAATGGCCCCACGGAGCCCTGGGACTCTGTGACTGTGCTCCGCCAGCAGGAATGTCACCAGATCCCACGTCCCAGTGTCACAAACAGCCGGGTGACGCTTGGCGGGGCCCCTGACCTTCTCGGGCATTTTTTCCATTTTCTTCATTCTCTCGTAAAATTCCTGAAGTGACCGCTCCAGGTGTGGGGGGGCTCATCCGGGAGCTAGGAGCTCGTCCTTTGCCCTGGACAGCACGAGGAGGTACCCAGGAGGGTGACCCCACCCCCAGGGGACGTTGTGGAAATCCTGGGGACAGTTGTGGCTCTCACACCCTGGGTGGGGCTGCTCCTGGCTCCTGGTGTGTGGGGCCCAGAGAGGCTGCTCCACCTCCTGCAGCGCACAGCACAGCCCACCCCAGAGAGCCCCAGCCCCAGAGGCCCCCGGTGCCCAGGAGACCTGCAGGACAGAGTCTCTGTCCATCATCCATCCACCCAGCTGTCACCTGTCAATCAATCTGTCGATCATCTGTCAATCACAGTAGTTCACAACCCGGGTGGCTCTGCCCCCCAGGGGACCCTGGCAATGTCTGGGGACATTTTTGCCGCTGACCCCAGGGGGCGGTGTCTGGAGCCAGAGCCCCCAGGACCAGGAGTCATCGGCAATGTCACCAAGGTGGAGCCAGCAGCCTGGGGACACGTGGTCAGGGCCACCAGGGCGTGCCCGGCTCGTCCCTCTGGGTCCCTGCTCAGAGCAGCGCCCTGAGCCCTGTGGAGGGCGGTGGCCGTGGTCCCAGCCCCCACCCCTCCCCCGCCTTCCTCCGACAGGCTTGGCTGCGTCCTCGTCCCCACGTGGCTTCTCTGTCCCCTGCCCCAAGCCCTGGGCACTACCTGAGCCCAGCTCCTTGGCGGGGTGCCCGGAGGGTCCCTGGTGTGATGGAACGACCTCCGGGTCTGGAGATGAGCGGGTGGTCCAGCCAGTGCAGCTAGGTCCTAGATGTCACCTCGGGGTCCTCACAAGAGGGAGGCGGAGGCAGAACAAGAGATGGGAGGCCCGACATGGAGGCCCTGGGGTAGAGGCCAGGAGCCTGGAAGGGCCTCCACTTCTTCTGCTTGGACTCTGGCCTCCTCAGGACGCCTGCTGGGGGACTCCCCGCAGGGACCTCGACGCCCTGAGTGTCCCGTGTCCCCATGGGCCACCCGAGGTCAGTGTGTCCCTCTTCTCCCCGCAGCCTCCTTTTCCCTGGAATTCTCGGTGCCTTGGCCACAGCCGGGACCCGGTGGCTCTCCACGTGGTCCCGTGTCCCTGCCCTGCAGCCCGGGACCCTTCTCAGTGCAGGTCCCCCGGGGCCCTGGGGGTCACTTGGGCCGAGGTCACTGCGCACTCCGTAGAGTCCGGTCGTGGTGGACACACAGTGGCCTCTGGTGGCCAGTCTGGGGCTCCTGCCTTTGAGCTCCCGATACCTCTGCAATGTCACCTGGGACGAGTCACTTTGCCAGACTCCTCAGGTCCCCAGCCTCCGTCCCCGGTGAGCTGCTTACAGCCTCCCTTTGGCTGAGGCTGGCTTTGAGCTCCCGATCCTCCTGCCTCAGCCTCCCCAGCCCCTGGGATGCCCCGCGTCCTGCCAGCCTCCCTGTTCCCGCAGCCCCCGTGCCTGGGGTCGGCCACCGTCCCCACCCCCGGGCGATGACGATGACGCCAGGCTCTGACAGGGGCCACCCGTCCCCCGCGGCGGCTGAGCATCCAGGGTGACTGCGCCTGCTTCCTGCGAGCGCTCGCCCAGTTCCCTTTCTGCGCCTTTAAACGGTGGCCTCTGCCGCTCACTCGGGAGGTGACACTTGGGGCTGCCCGTCCCTGTCCCCTTTCTCGCAAGCATGAGGCAGCAGCTCCGGCCCTGGGCCGCGGCCACCGTCCTGCTGCTGGGAGACCTGGTGGCCTCGCGGGACGCAGCAGGAGCCGCGGGTGAGAGGCTCCGGAGCCGCGGGTTCTCTCGGGTTCTGTCCCCCCTTTGGCTCTCCTTCCTGTCCCCCAGAGGGGACGGGGCCCCTGCGCCCTTTTTCTTCTGCTATTTAGAGACAGGGTGTTGCCTCTGCTGAGGCCGGCCTCCACCGGGCCGGCCTCCTGCCTCGGCCTCCCGAGGCATCTCCCACGCCCTCCTGGCCTCGCTCCTCAGTTTCCCCGGAGCACGGCCCCCGGGCAGCGGCCCCCGTCACAGGACGCTGGCCCCCGGCTCCAGGACTTTCTAGTAACTTCTTAGAAAACGCTGACGTCGCTTTTTTTTTTGGTTTGTTTGTTTGATGCTTTGTGGTTTGTCTTCTCGCCTCTTGTCTCGCGGGGGCTGCGGTGGAGCCGGGGTCGGGCGTTGGGGTCTGAAACGGGTTTGCACTCGGTGCCTGGGAAGAGCCGGAGTAGGATTCAGGAGGCTGAGGCAGGAGGCTGGCACGTGAGAGGCCAGCCTCCGCAACTTAAGGAGGCCCCCAGCAACAAGGTCTCCGCTGCCGACCTGGGAAGTTGCTGATGGGATTCAGCGGAGCTTTTGGACACCTGCTGTATACACTATGGGGGTCTCCTGCCATCCCAGCCGCTCGGGAGGCTGGGGCAGGAGGATCGCACATTGGAGGCCAGCCTCAGCCACGTAGTAAGGCCATGACTCTAAATAAAATATCATCAGGGCTGGGGTCGGGACTCCCTGGGCTCTGTCCCTGTCACCGAAACTGAAAAAGAAAAAAGAGGGAAATTGAGAAAGTGGGTCACGCGAGTCACAGCAGCAGGTGGGGGTCCGAGGGGTCTTCGTGAGGCCGCTGGCCCTCCATTTCCATCAGCTTGACATCTCCAACATGCCCGGGGGACAATATTAGGTTTGGAGCCTGAAGCCATTGGAAGTTTCCGGCGGAGGCACTGGGAGGAGGCTCGGCGGCCTCAGGAGGCCGAGGCTGTGTCCCTCAGGGTGGGGGAGAGGCTGGGAGCCAGGACAATAAGATGAAGGAGAAGCAGGAAAGTCCCACCTTTAGAGCACAGGTGACCTTCAGGGCTGGCCTGTGTCCCTGTGCGTCATGCCATCGGGGTCCGTCCCCGTTACACCCGGTGTCAGAGCTCCGTCCCTTTTCATGGCTGAGTAATACTCCACGATGAGAAAAATGACCGCCTTGCATCGATCCCAAGACGTGACCGTTAGCATGTCGCGGAGACGTCTTCAGACCGTGAGGTCCGTCATCCGAAGCCCACGCAAGGCCACAAAGCTCACGTTGACCCTTGGTCAACACAGGGAGCCTGAGGTCCCGAGTGCGGCCACAAGACTTTTCAAAAACTTAAATTCCATAAAAATACAATTTTTTTCTTTTTTTGGTACCAGGAACTGAGCCCAGGGGGGCGCTTAGCCACGGAGCCACGTCCCCAGCCCCTTTAATTTTTTTTATTTATTTTGATTTAGAGGCAGGGTCTCGCTAAGTTGCTGAGGCTGGCCTCCACCTCCCCATCCTCCTGCCTCAGCCTCCCGAATTCCCTAGCCCAAGTGAACTTGCTTGAACCCACATCATCGCCTCAGAGGTTCCTCCGAGAGCGTCTTCTCGAGGCCGTTGAAGGGGCAGGAAGCACCATTGGAGGCCACGATCAGTTTCCAGAACTCGTTTCTTATCTTGCAAACCCGAAACTCTGTCCCCGCTGAGCAAACAAGGGGCGGTTCTTCCCCACGGCCCCGGGTGGGGGGGGGGGAAAGTGCGGCTCCCTCCATCTCTGCAAATGGGACTCTTCGGGGACCTCAGAGGAGTCCAACCGGCCACTATTTTTGTTTTTTTCTGAGCGCCTTAGCTTGTTGATGGCAGCAGTGTTTTCCACGGTGCTCGGAGGGTGCGGCTGGGGATCTTGAGGGCACGCACCCAGAGTTGATGCAGAATGGAAATCAGCGCCCCAGGGTTCTCTCTCTGTCTCTCTGTGTCTCTCCGTCTCTGTCTCCCTCCGTCTCTGTCTCTCTCTTCCGTCCTGAGCAACGCTAAGGGCGTTTTACATGGATGGCGGGAGCGGCAGGCGTGTTTGGGGGCACCGTTCAGGGAATGAAATGGGACAGAAAAACGGCTGCACCCCCAGACGCTCTCCCCGCAGGCGGCAGGAGAGAAAGAAAAACCCATTTGGCATCAGAAATCGAGGCATCTCTCTCTGTCGTGGAATACAACTCAACCCTGAAAAAGGGCGCCCCCGGGGGCTGAGGTGGGAGCCCGGACCTGCCTCCCCGGGTCACTGAGCCTCAGCCGCGGGATCCCCGGCCTCATGCTTCTCTGTCGAGCCGGGGCCTCCGTCTCCGCGGCTGAGTCACCAGGGCTGGGGAAGTGCCAGCCACAAGGCCACTTGTACTTTCTGGGTGCGGCTTTCGGGCCGCGGCGGCTTGACATTTCTCCCAAGGTCTGAAGGGGGACTCGGTCGTGGCCCAGGGCCCAGCCGTGAACCCCCTGGAATTCCAGATCCCCGGGGCGGGCGGGGGTGGCCTTCAGGTCCGGGGCGCACCAGGTTCCCCAGCTGCCCGTCTTGGGTGGACAGACCCCCTTCTCCAGGGCCCTCGGGTGGCGGGTCCTGTGCGCCTCACGCCTCGCTCAGCTGCCCTGACAGCTCAACCCCGATAACTAGTAACGAAACAGACTCAGGATAAGTCGACGCGGTAACAGAATTACTCTGAAAACCAATTTTTTCTTTGACTTTTAGAATTTTCACTTCATTTTTTTTTTTTTTGACTCCCGTGGATGGGTGTGAGTGAAACCTCAGAAAGACAAGCTGCAGACCTGGGGGGTGGGGGGACAACCAGAAGGACTAACTTTGTAAAAAAAAAAAAAAAAAAAAATCTTGGCTGCGCCTGCGTCCTCATAGGACAAGAAGGCTGCCATTGCTCCGTGTATTCCGAACTCTTTTGAACCTGGGCTCGGAATGTGCTTTAGTGGCCTCTTTCTGTCCCTTCCCAGGAGAAGGGCTGCAGCTTCACATCACCTGCTTCAACTTCGAAACGGTGCAGGTCACTTGGAACGCGACTGGACACCCGGGGACGAACCTGACCTTCTTCTACACGTGAGTGTCCTGGGGCGCAGAACCCCGTGTCCCTGAGGTAGGAACTGTCTCCCTTGGGCCAGAAATCCTGGCGCCCGCTGACCTCAGCTGGCCGTGGCCCCTGCCCTGAGCCTCTCCCGGCTTCAGAGCGTCCACCACGGGGGACACGGGGGACGGGGGTGGTGACGTGGATCTCGGCGGATTTCTGAGAACAGGGGACGGGGCTGTTCCCAGGCTGATGGCGCCGCAGATTAAGGGGAAGAGGCAGAGCCCGGGCGAGGTCCCGCGGCTGAAGGGAGGCACAGGGAGGGGACCGTTCTGGGTTTCCCAGGGGGTCACGGGGGGGGGGGGGGGATCGCAAGGTGGAGGTTAGCCCTGAGGCAGAGGCTAGACTCGCAGGGGACCGGAGCGAGGAAGCCACAGAGAGAAGATCGGATCAGGCTCAGCCCTGATAACGCACGTTGCCTGCGCGGTCACACAGCACCTGGGGACTGTCACAGCAAGTGCCCCCACCCACGCAGCTCTCCCTCCCGCCCTCGAGGACCCGGGTCCCAGCCTCCCTGCCCAGCCTCCAGGGAGGCTCCTCCTGCCTGTCCAGCTCCTGGGCTCCAGGTGGCCCTGGGCTGGTGGCCCGTCATTGCAGTCTCCACGGGGCTCCTCCTCTGTGCCTGTGTCCCCTCCTCTGTCCCTTGGGAGGACACGGCCATGGCACCGGGGGAGGACGAGGTGCCCACGTGGAGTCTGAGGCCGGCCACCGCTGACGGAGGCCGAGCTGCTCGCTGGCTGAGTGTCCCCGTCCCCCGCGCAGGTTCACGCGGGGCGCGGGTCACCGCCCCTGCACCAACTACACGCTTTGGCGAGGCCACACGTCCGGGTGCCTGCTGGCCGCGCGCGACGACATCCTCTACTTCTCCGTCAGAAACGGGAGCCGCCTCCTCGTCTCCAGGAGCCAGTGGCTGAGCGACTACTGTAAGTGCCCAGGAGCGAGGCCACCGTCCAGTCCCCAGGGCACGCCCCCTGACCCCCAGCTGGGCAGATTGAACCCAGGGACCCTTGACCTTCTCATTTTTTATCTAGAGACGGGGCCTTTGGCCGAGTCGCTCAGGGCCTCACGGAATTGCTGAGGCTGGCCTCCAACTGGCCATCCTCCTGCCTCAGCCTCCTCTGTGTCTGTGTCCCCTCCTCTGTCCCTTGGGAGGACACGGCCATGGCACGAGGGCCCCCTGACCCAGGAGGAGCCCATCTCAGGACCCTCCACTGACCACCTCTGCAGAGACCCTGTCCCCACACCAGGTCCCATTCTGGGGTGACGGGGACCTAGAACTCGCCCAGACCCCAGTCCGGTCCTCACAGATGTCAGACCACTTTGCAGACTGAGGGCTTCCCTCTGGGGGACGCCCAGGTCCTCGGGGTCCTGGTCAGGACTTGCAGTGGACATGCCGTGGGGACAGACACATGTCCACTCCCGCACGTCTGCAGCCGGGGCTCGGGGAGGCGCGACGGGGTCTGGCCCAACCCCGGGGGACCCCCCGACCAGACCCTCGCCCGGGGCTGAGGTTTGTGGTCCTCCTCCGCAGTGAAGCCCGGCTCCCCCAAGGACGTCCACTTCCGGTGGCTGCAGGAGGACGTCCTGGTGACCTGCTCCGACCTGCCCTACGGGGGCCTCCTCTACGAGGTCCAGTACAGGAGCCGCTTCGACGCCGAGTGGGAGGTGAGCAGGACGCGGCTTGCGGGAGGGGGACGAGGGACGCGGCCTCCCTGGTGTCTGTGGTCAGCGTCCAGCAGGGAAAGGCATCGGGGGCCTATGTGCAGGTTCCCGTCTGTGTGCCCGTCTGTCTGCCATCTCTGTCCATCATCCACCCATCCGTCCATCTGTCCGTCCATCTGCATCCGTATCCCACGCCTGTATTCGCACCCAGATCTCTAGGGCCACAGGCCTGGAGGTGACTTCAGGGGTGGCCTCGTGCACGGATGGGGTCAGCCATCAGGTCGTCACTGTGGGCAGGGTTTCTCGGGGGACAGTCTAGAGGCCAGGGTCCTTCCTCTCTGTGGGCTGTCCGTCTTTCTGCTGAGGCCCTTCAACTGATCGGACGAGGCCCACCCCCGAGGCTCAGCGACTGAAAGTCGACCCCGTATCATGTCGAATCACGTCCGTTATTGATCAGTAGATCAATATGGTACCGGGGACTGAACGCAGGGACCCTTAACCGCTGATCCGTGTCCCCAGGTGGAGCTTTCTTTCTTTCCAGACAGAGCCTCCGTCACTAAGTTGCTGAGGCTGGCCTCCAGCCGTAGCCTCCCCCAGGGCTGGGATTGTGGGCGAGCTCCACAGAGCCTAGCCGTAGCCCCATTTCTGACCCGTAAATCGCCTCTTTTATTGAGAAACTAAGGTGCCAGGCGCAGGAGGCGACAGCAAGGCGTGGGCTGAAGGACGGTCCACTGTACACGGGCGCACGTGGGACCCCTCCACGTTCCCCCGCTAGGAGAACGCTGAGATGACAAGTGGCTTCCCGAGGGCCACCAAAGGGCACTGGAAGGACGTGGGAAGGCCGACCCGACTCCCTCCCTCTGCGGACGCACAAGATTCCAGGGCGAAAGACCCCGGCCCAGCCCCTAACGGGGGCATCCGATCTGTCCCCAGTCCAGGGAAGCGACGACGTGCAACGTGACCGTCGGAGGGTTGGACACCCAGAAGTGCTACAGCTTCCGGACCCGGGTGAAAACCACCGAGGACCAGTACGGCCCCCACGCCACCCCCAGCGACTGGTCCCAGGTGACGCACTGGCAGAGGGCGGAGCTCAGAGGTGAGCGGAGGATATGCAAACGTATGCAAATCTGCGCAAATCTATGCAAATCGACGCAAACGTATGCAAACGCACGCAAATACATACAAATATATGCAAATACATGCAAATATATGCAAACGAAGTGAAAATATGCAAATGTATGCGAAGGTATGGGAAGGTATGGAAGCTACGATGTGCAGGACCACAGATGGCGACAGGGGTGTGATGGACACCCAATGGCTGGGGGTGGGGCACAGGTGGGTTAGAGAGAGGGATGGGTCACAGGTTGCTGGACAGACGGACCACCGACGGGCAGATGGACAGACCTCCTTCCGTTCGGTTTCAGACTCCTGCGAGGAGGAGCCCGGTCCTCGCCGCACGCGGTTCCCCAAGTTCATCCTCATCTCCAGCTCGGTCACCCTCCTGACCCTGTGTCTCCTGCTGCTGTCCTTATGGAGACTGCAGAGGTAGGGACACCGCCGTCCCCGCCGTCCCCCACACGCAGGGTCCCGGCCAGCGTCCCACGGCTGTGTCCAGGAGCCGCTCAGAGGGGGCAGACTCACTGGAGGGTCACTCGAGGTCGGCCGAGTCCATGGCCAAAGCAATGTGGCGGCTGGGCAGGGTGCTTTTGCTGCCCCTGGGGCTGGGCGTGCAGCTCGGCCGGCCGGTGTGCACAAGCCCCGGGTGTGACCCCAGCAGGACAGGCCACCTGCAGTGCAGAAGCCCCGGGTTTCATACCCAGCACAACTAGCCGAGCTGTCGACCCGGGTGGCTCCGTCTGGTTGCAAGACGAACCGTCCAGCACACGTTTCCGTCCACTCAGGACCCAGCAGGCCATCCCTGGGGTGGGGCGGGGGACCAGGGACCTTTCCGAAACTGCTCCCTCGGGCGATATCCCTTTGGGTCCTTCTCGGTGCCCACTCACCGCGGCCCCTTCTACCTTGACTGACCCTGACCCGGCCCCGGTGGGGACGGTTCCAGGGGCCGATGCCCAAGGTACCATTTCTGTTCCTCGGATGCGGTTCCCATAGCAACGCCCAGCAGCAGGCCGGGCCGCCCTTCAACCTGGGGCCGAGATGCCACCGGCCAGGGCAGGGCAGGGTCAGGTGGCCGTCACAGGTGGACACGGCAGAGACGCCTCAGGCACCAACTTCTCTAGATGGGTTTCTTCCAGGTCCTTCCACGGAGGGGACACTACGGTGCCTTTTAGGGGTGTCCCCAGGTCTGCTCCGCGCCCCAGCCCGTCTCACCGGCTTCTCTGTCTCATCTCAGAGTGAAGAAGCTGCTCGTGCCCAGCGTCCCGGACCCGAAGGGCAAGTTCCCCGGCCTCTTCGAGCAGCACCAAGGGAACTTCCAGGTGCCCTCACTGCCCACTGGACAGGGGTGCCCGGCCCTGCCCTCAAACCCTAGGAGAGGGAAAAAATCATTTCTTCTACCCTCTTAAGTTCCGTGACTGGGGTCTGCTAATTAAAAGGGCCAGTAACTGATGAACTAGGAAAAAAAAATCCTTGTTTCTTTATATACATGTTGGGGGTTCCCCAGCCCCAGCGTGGGGGGCCTGGGAGACCCCCTGCAGCGATGGTCCTCCATGTGCCAGATGCTGATGGCAGAGCACAGCGTCCCCGCCGGTGCCCAGAGAGGTTGATTCTGCTGCGAGCTGAGTCCCGTGTCCCTTCTTGGCAGGCGTGGATCACAGACACCCAGAACGTGGTCCCGCTGGCCAAGGCCGGAGGCCTGGAGCCGGAGACCCCCCCGGAGGAGGCCCTGGTCATCCACCTGCTCAAGACGGAGCCCGAGGCGCCTGCCAGCCCAGGACCCGCGTGTCTGCAGACGGGGGAGGAAGAGGCCCCGGGGGGGTCCCCCCAGCTCCCTCCCCAGGCCCCCCAAGGTGGAGACAGGGTGTTTCTGGGAGACTTCGCCTTTGTGATGAGTGACAACTCCTACATGATGCTGTGAGGTGGCCCCTCCAAGGCCACGATCGGGATCCACGCTGATGTCCAAGGACACGAGAAATATCAGGACTTCACCGGAGCCCCCTGGGCCACGGGGGGCTCCAATCTGGGGTCCTTGAGGACCACCACTCACGACGACCGAAGGGAGGGCATATCCAGGGTGCCCTAATATCCACTCCCCCCGTGTACCCCCCCAAATCCTCCCCTTTCAACTTTCCCCTCCACACATTGTGCCTTAGACCTTTTCTCATGCAACCCGGGCAGGGAGACGAATCCCATTTTTAAAAAGGCAACAGGCCACCCGCGCGTTAGGGGTGCAGCCTGGGATCCCCTATTTGATGACTGACCTCCTCCCCAGGGGCCAGGTCTGGGCCACATTGGCGACCTGCGTTGGGGGAAATGCATATTAATTGCTTTAATTAATTAAATGCATATGAATCGCTTCCCGGGGGGACTTGGTCATCTTCCCTGGGGGCCCCTGTGGACGGTGGTGACCCCAGGGGACCCTGAGCCTGGATGCCTCTCTGCAGGGCCCCTGCGACTCCCTCCCGGCCCCGGGACCCACCCGCATCTCGGCTCCGCCCACCGTGAAGGGCGGGCTTTCTCTTGCTGTCAATCACCGGCTCGGTCCTGGCAGCGCTTGCTGCCTGAGCAACCGTGCATGCGGACGGGTCGGGCGCGCTGTTTCAGGAGCCGTCTACACGGCGTGGCTTTACCACCGAGCCAGGGGCGCGCGTGTTTTTGGTTGTCCCTGGGCGGGTCGCTCGTCCCGGCAGGTGCAGCCCAGGCTGGGTCTCTGCAGCCCAGAGAAAACCCTCCTCCAACAAACCCTCCTCCAACGGCGCAGGCGGCGCTGTGCCGGGGTGAGTCACCGATGGCTATCTGCCCTCATCGTCCCCGGAGGAGTCGCTATCGCTGGTGATCAGCAGCAGAAATGACTGGCAGGTGGGGCCGAAAAGTCCCCGGTGCAAACCCGGGCGTGTCCAGCCCTGGAACAGCGGAGAGGGGGGGAGAAAGGTCCCCGGATGGCGGTGCTGTGTGACCTCGGGCCGTGTCCTGACCTCTCTGAGCCCCACTCTCTTGTTTTCTCGGTGAACTAGTAAAGCAGGAGTCTGTTTGGCGGCCGGGTGGACAGGGGTCAAGGCCAGCGTGACCTTCCCAGAGGTTATGAAGGTCATGAAGGCGAAGCCGACTCGGGGGGGGAGTTTTGTTTTATTTTTAAACGAGCTGCATGTTGTAGCTGCGTGATCTGAACCGTGGTGCACGTGTGTGTCTCCACATGTATGCACGTGCACCTAATAGACACCTGGGCATACATGCGTGCGTGTGTGTGCAGGAAGACACAAACGGATGTCTGATGAGCGTTTTGCCTGATTCGAATTTGCTCTTGGTTTCCGTGTATTTTGAATCAATTTAGAGCAGGATCCTCTTTAGAGAAAGGGTCTGGACATTTTAGTGGGTTAAGTAAGGTCCTTCCTTCAAAAGATATGTCCATGTCCCAGCCACCAGGACCCGGGAGTGGGACCTCGTGGGGACACAGGGTCTCTGCAGAGGTGGTCAGTTCAGGGCCCTGAGCTGGGCTCCTCCTGGGTCAGGGGGCCCTCGTGCAATGGCCGTGTCCTCCCAAGAGACAGAGGAGGGGACACAGACCCAGAGGAGGAGCCCCGTGGAGATGGAGGCAGAGACTGCAGTGAGGGGCCACCAGCCCAGGGCCACCTGGAGCCCAGGAGCTGGACAGGCAGGAGGAGCCCCCTGGAGCCCTGGAGGGAGCTGGACGTCATGGTAAGAGGCGGGTCCTGTCCACAGCTGGACCCCAGACCTGTGAGGGGGACCTGGGGTGGGCACAGGGTCCCTGAAGAGGACAGGTGGTCAGTCGGTGCCCTGTCCACCCGTCTCCAAGGGGGACAGATTCTCTGCCAGGACCCTGAGCTCATGCCCAAGAGAAAAACAGGAAAAAATGCAAATAAGAAAAAGAGCCCGGACATTGGCCAGGCCCCGTGGATCCCTCTCCTTCTGACAGAAACGTGGAGCCTGACCAGGTCTGTGTTGCTGGCAGTTTTGGTCACTACCATCTCCATTTCCTTCAATAAAAAAAAAAAAAAGAAAGAAAGAAAGAAAAGAAAACCCCAGCCGTTGCCCAGAGAGCAGACCCTCGTGCAGCCCAAGGAATCTTCGAGAGTCTCCTAGTGGGCATGGAGAGAGGGCAAATCCTCCGACAAAATCCCTCTGCGCAAAGTTCTGAGACGCACAGATGAAAATCAAATTAGATCACATTAAAAAAGTGAAACAAAATGAAAAATAAAAATAAAATAAAATGTAAAAAAATGAAGTAAAGAATGATATGAGGTAGAATGAAATAAAATAAAAATTCAATTCGATTCAATTGAAAACAAAATAAAAATGAAATGAAGAATGATATAAACTAAAATGAAGTAAAATAAAAATGAAATAAAAATAAAATAAAAATGAAATAAAATAAAAAAAAATGAAATAAAAATAAAATGAAAATGAAATAAAATAAAAATAAAGTGAAAAATGGGATAAAATAAAAATGAAATGAAATAAAAAGTGAAATGGACTAAAGATCCCCGTCCACCCCGCTGCCCTCCCCAGGTCCGTCCACCCCCCCCCCCTGGCTTGCCCCGGGGGGGCCCCGCCCCCCCCCCGCCCCCGCCCCGTGGACCTGGCCCTGAGCCGGCGCGGCCCCCGGGACTTGGCTGCGGAATGTTCTGGGCTCGCTGCCCGCCCCCTGGGTGGTCTCCACCTGCAGCTGCCAACACGAACTCGGGGTGAGAAGTCTCCTCTGGGGGGGGGGGGTCATTCCTTTCTGCATCCTTCGCAGGGGCCCCCGGAGCAGCTGGGGGTCAGCACCGGAGGACACGGGGGACAGCCCAGGAGGACACAACAGGGGACAGCCCAGGAGGACCTGGAGGGACAGCCCAGGAGGACACAACAGGGGACAGCCCAGGAGGACCTGGAGGGACAGCCCAGGAGGACACGGGGGACAGCCCAGGAGGGCCCGGGGGTGTGGACAGGCCCCCTACGTTGGTGGCCCCGGGCAGCTGCCGGTGATGGACTCCGCTCTCACAGCCTCGCCCCTTCCCCTGAGGCCCTCGAGGGCCGGACCCCCCAGATCGGGGAGAGGCTGACGTCACCGCAGTGGGAGGGGCCGTTCCTGCAGGAGGTCGGCTGACCCCCCTTAAGGGGTCGTCTTCGGTGTCCATCCCGATGGGCTAGCGATGGCCACAGACCGGACAGCGGGGCCGGAGGGGCGCGGAGGTCAGCGGCCGATTGGCCTCTAGAGGACCCGACCCGGGGACCGAGACCTCGGTGCCTCCAGAGCATTTCCAGGTGGCAGAGAAGTTGGCCCCCAAGTGTGACAAGCTCTGGGCAGGTGCAGCCAGGGACACCCCCGGGGCCACAGGTCCTCCACAGGGTTCCTCTGCACGGCCACCGGCTGTCCAAGTGTCCGCTTCTGTGTCCACTCATCTGTCTGAGTCTACCTACCTGTCTATGTGTGCATCATCTACCTACCTGTCAATCATCTACCTACCTGTCAATCATCTACCTACCTGTCAATCATCTATCTATCTATCTCTCTGTCATCGACCCATCCTGTCTGTCCAGGGGGCTCTCACACTCTGGGTGGGGCTGCTCCTGGCTCCTGGTGTGTGGGGCCCAGAGAGGCTGCTCCACCTCCTGCAGCGCACAGCACAGCCCACCCCAGAGCACCCCCAGCCCCAGAGGCCCCAGTACAGGGGAGACCTGCAGGACAGAGTCTCTGTCCATCATGCGTCCACCCAGCTGCCATCTGTCTGTCTGTCTACCACCTGTCCATGCGCCCATCCTTCATGTGCACGACAGTATCCACATGTGCACACCCGGGGGTCTCTACGAGGCCTTTCTGTGCACACTCGCAGTGAGTGTGTGTGCTTTGCCCTCACAATACAACAGAGCGGGGGAGACTCCTGACGTGGGAGTCAGGAGGGTGCTCCTCCTGGGTCGTAGGAGACAAGAGAACTTATCTTCCTCCTCAGGGACGTGGCTAATGTCCGACCAGGAGCAGAAAAGTGGACACACACGTTCATTAACCTTCACGTGACCTGGGCTCAGACACTCACGCCTGTCACCCCAGCAGCTTGGGAGGCCGGGGCAGGAGGATCTCAAGTTGGAGGCCAGCCTCAGCAGCCTAGGGAGGCCCTGTCTCTAAATAAAATACTCTATTTACGGGGGGTCCCGAGGCCAGGGGCCACACGATCACGTGGTTCTGTGGCGTCCAGATTATCAGCGTCTGTGGCCCCACTGTGTGTTGCGCAGTTAGACGGACCCTCTGTGGTCTGCGAGCACGTTGCATGATATACAGTTGCATTTGTGTCACGTTACAGTTTGCGTCACTTAACCCCGTTCCAGATGCTATAGCTACATCGAATATTGCACGACTGCACATTTTATATATGTATTTCTGTGTCATGAGGTTACTAGAGTCTGCAATCTCCTTGTACGTTCAATGATTACCCGAGCTAGAATAAAAAATTTTAAAAAACCACCTATTTTATAAGCGCATTATATATCACATAATTATCTTTAAATATCATATGCAGTTTATGACCACATGGCATCCTACACTGTCACATTATATATTCTATAATAATGATGTATGTCACATAATTGCATTGCATATTTATGAGCACAGTATGCTAGGTTATATGATCTTGATCATATATCATGCATTTATTACATTGCGTGTCTTAAAATCACAATGTACATAATTGCCCTATGTATTTTATAATTACACGATTTTTAAAATAATTGCATTATTTTTTGATAATGGCATTAGGTACTTTATAATTGCATTATGTATTTTATAATTGCATATTCCATAAGTACATTCTATATTCTGTGATTACATTATGTATTTTGTAATTGCATGATATATGCTAGTATCACATTATATGATTGCATTATGTATTTTATAATTGCATTATGTATTTTATAATTGCATTATGTATTTTATAATTGCATTATTTTTAAATAATTGCATTATCTATTTTTATAATTGCATTTTGTACTTTATAATTGCATATTCCACTAGTACACTCTATATTTTGTAATCACAGTATGCATTTTGTATTTGCATCATATATGTTAGGATTGCATCATATAATTGCATTATGTATTTTATAATTGCATTATTTTTTAATAATTGCATTATGCATTTTATATTGCATTATGTATTTCATAATTGCATTGTTTTTTTAAATAATTGCATTATGTATTTTATAATTGCATATTCGACAAGGACACTCTATATTTTGTGATCACAGTATGCATTTTGTATTTGCAAGATATATGTTAGCATTGCATTATGTGATTGCATTATCCATTTTATATTGCATTATGTTTTTATAATTGCATTATTTTTTAATGATTGCATTATACTATATT